AAATACTCGATGTACACACCGACATGAAAACAGTGTACACAACGTACTATAGATTGTTAACCCGTCCAAACTACTTCTTTCTTTATATATTTGTCCATTGAACTATACTACAGTCAAGACACACAAAATCGTTGGGAATATATGAATGTTAATGCATGTTGAACTCAAAATGCATTAACGTCAAGGGATTTTCCACACCCAATATAAACAAACGGTAGCAAATTTTTGTTTGTCTGCATGCTTTGTTAACCATATCCAATATTTAAATAGATAGCGAATATTTGTGCATAATCACTAACTGGGATGTAATATGTGACAGGTAAACTGAAAATTATTCTGTGGGTTTGAGAATTTACCATAAGAGATAGGGCCATAAATAAAAAGAGGGTGAGCTTATTAATACGCTTGTCAGTTTTTTTGTTACAACTTAATTAGAACCTTATACCTTTCAGTAGTCAATTGCTTTCTTAATTAATTTCTTTCTTCAGTCTCTGTCTGTAAGTCTTCGGCCGTTAGTTAGCCTAGCCTGAGTGTTGAGGTAATTAAACAGGAAATAGGTTGGCATAAGTTAGGTCAAGGTTTAATTCTTTCAATTCCCTTTCAATATAAACAAAGAAATATATATCCATACGCATCTATATATGGAGCTTATAGCTATGATACATGAGGACTTTGCCGTTATCAATTTCGTCTAGAGTAGTGATTCTCATATTCTTATTCTTTTCTTATATATGAACTCGGTTTTTTTTTCCTTGTCATGTTTACTTACATGAAATGAGAGGAGTATCATTTACGTAGAAAATGACCTAAATGATCAACTATTCCCCTAATCATCAACATAGTTATTTATGGTTTTTCAAAAATTGGATTACAAATTGAAATGTAAAAGTTACATATTTATGTATTTCTCACGTAGTAGTAAACGCAGGTCTTTTTTTTCTATTATTAAAGGGAGAGAGAGGGTTCTAAACTATTATTACAATAATTTAGGAGAGGGATAGTTTCGAACCCAGGGCGCATAGTTGGAAACCCAACATCCTATCTACTACGACATTAGACCACACACAGCCGTAAACACAGGTTAAATTGAAATTATTTTAACGTTCATGCATTCAGTGAAAGTAAAGCATGAGAATAAGTACAATATCAATTCCAAATAAGTAATATATCATTAATTGTGTTCATTCCTAAAGCTTAAACGAAAACGAAAAGAGACGAGCGTACAATACACAGACTGCAAAGTCCTCCCTTTCCCTATCGTGGATCAATATCAATACTAAATCATCAATATCCAAGAATCTTTTTCCCGATAAGAACAAATTAATTGGATATAAGCACCATGCATGCGTATAAGCAATAATAAGAGCCAATGATTCAATTAAATAATTCTTTGTGCAATTGTATATAGAACCCTTCCCCAATGATAATATATATTATCCGAATTAACACCAGAAGCCCTTTACTACCAAGGAAAAAAAAGGTCCAAAGAAGAAAGGAACATTACAATTTTCTCAGATAGACTCAATGTCTATATTCCGTGGGACCCTAAATATTTCAACAGATGAATTTGAGGTCACCATGCTTTTAGTTAGAGCTTTTCTGGTTTTATATTTCATCTGTATACATACATACATACATGTACTATTTCATTTTTTGGGTTTAGGGGGTCTTATCTTATTGGACCACGTCAAATGACGCAGTTTAGAGCCAATTGGCTGGCTAGTCTCTTGTATTGTAGTAAGGCATTGAGTTCATCAAACAAACCCTTTTCTGCACTAACCATTTTTATGGTTCCTTTCTTGGGGAAAAAACCCTCTAACTAGCTATGATCTTCTTGCTATTTTTGTACAGTCAAAACTTTTAACAGTATTGAGGATTCTTAATTTGTTGAAATGCGTCAATTTGTTTTAACAGTCAACTATAACTCATTTTTTGTTAGTTTTTCAGATTTGAACAAACTAAAATATATACATGAATGGCGAATTTGGTTAAAAGCAAGTATTACATCGCCACGTTTAGGGGCTTAAAATCAAATTGAAAGTCTAGAGAACTAATCGAAATAAGGTACTAAGTTCAAAAGGCGTTGTTAAAGATTTCCGTTCTTTCATTAATGAATTTGGTTATTTCTAGCAGCTTGGGGCCTCTAGCTCGCTTGGCTTATCTTCTTCCTTGTTTAATCTTGGTAGCTCTAACACTCTTTGTTTTCCTTATCTATTATTCGCTGGAAAATCGTGTGATTGATTTCCCATACATTATGTATAATTTGTTGGTTGGCTTTGGCAGTTGGAGTAGACAAGGAATGTGACCATAAATGGCAATTTGTGAAAGAAAGATCATCCGTTGGAGATGTGGCCAAAAATAAGAGGCGCTAAAAAATGACCTAACTTGATGATGAAGGACACATATGGGCCCGCCTAAGCCCTCCCCATCTTTTGGTTTTGACTAACATAGACACCCTAACAAAAAGAAATTAAAAAACTTGAGTAAGGCAATGGCCAATGGGTGTTTTCTTCGACTCCACAACCTGTCTGTACAGATGTTTTAATATCATGCGTATAAGTTTATCTTCACACGATCGATGTTGTATTATTGGCACAAGACGTCAGAATAACGGTTGATCTATGTCATATAAGTCACTCTTTCATAAACACACGCAAATTCTTTGTGCTTTTTGATTAATCTATCCATACTTATGTCATCGTGACAACGTCTTATTAACTTGTCTTACATGCCCAACCACGCGACACCCTACATTCTCACCATGCATGGATGAGACCATCTTCTGTGGTTGCATGGATGACAGATTGAGCTGATTTAAGCTATAAAAACAGTAGCATGGGTGCGGATAGTGATTGACCATTGCATTCTTATCCTTAAAAACCAATCAATCAGTGCATAAAAGATAGGTCTGCCAACTAGCTATCCCCATATGAACGAATCTGAGAAAATTCCTCTCCTGCTTATCTTCTTTTGGTTGCTTACTGGTTTGGAGAAATCTCTTTACGCCTTAGTCTTTGTCAATTTTTTACAAATTTTCGTAAATGCATGTCTACCTGTAAACTGTTATGCGCCGCAAGATCCAAAGCCTTAGTTGTTCGGAAGTTGGTTTGCCTTTGTAAGTTACAACTTTTGCAAGTTAGTACTGAAGGAGATTCCTCCCATCCTTCAGACATGAATGCCTTTGGCTCATTCCCACATTATTCTGAGCATATCACAGAAAATCTTGTACTATTGGCTCCAAAATTGGAGAAATGCTGGTACAAGTATGTCATAACATTGTAGCATTAACACGAAATGTCATAGTAAAGAATCATGTACTCGTATCATGAATGCTGCTTTCTCAAAATAACATGGATTGATTAGTTGGTTTGGATTAATATATTACATCATATAGCGCAAAAGTTAGTAAAAGACCAAAACAGATATTTGAATTGTGATTAGGGTTCAAGCGAGTGAACGACCCCTAGTTAATGAGATACGATTCCATATATGGCACCAACAATTGAAAGTCGCTCACTTGAGTGAGTAGTCGAAAACCCCTTTGGAGTTGGATTCCGGGATAGATAGAATTAATTACATCCCTTGAGACATTAACGTGATATCATGTACCAATAACACAAAATTATGTATTTTATGTTTTTCATATGGCATTGGTAAGAAACATCTTAGCGTCCCCGTTTCATGGACTTTACTAGGGCTTGTAGCTAAGCAACTATCCTTTTTTATTTAATAACTGGAGGGAGTAGACTTGAATGCTGAAAATATACCGATCTAATTGACCAAAAAAAGAAAATATACCGATATAGCTAACTTGGTTACTCTCACGTTTGTTATATGTTCGACTGAAAGCCTCATACGGATATGAAATTTATACTCTAATATTCAATTTTGTGTATGGAGCATGCACTTGTTCCACTTTCACGTTGGTCAAGCCGTATACTCGCCCTCAAAAGAAATTGACCATCACATCATATACTTCTTGAGACCCGCACGTCTGAAATGCTTTGGGATAACTTTTTGGATAACATAACGAATCTGGATAATTACCAAATCATCACATCCTCCTACGTTGTTTCTTTTGAATCACTTAGACATGTGAAACTGGAATTTACGCAAGACTTGGTCAATAAAGGTAATTACTTGGATACGGCAACAACAAATCAAACACTCTAATGCCCGTTAATAATCATTTAGGGCCTGTTTGGTATTTGATTGGATTCAATATTTTTAACTCAAAAACAAGTTTTGAGTTACAAATTTAAGTCTTTATTTGGTATTTGATTTGAATATAATTCTCAAAACCACAACTCAAAAATATTTGAAAACAAAGTTTATTTGTTGAAAACACAAAAAGTACGTTTTTAGACTTTTTTTTATTTACCGGAATTCATCACACTCCCCTCTGTCTCTCTCTACCACTCACTCCCCCCTCTCTCTCTCTCTCTCCCACTCACTTCCGTCTCTCTCTCCTCTCTCTCTTCTCTCTCTCTTACCCCTCTCTTGATACTCCCTTCTGTATTGCCTCTTCAATCTCCTCCCACTTGCATCCACCATAGCCAACACCTCTATCCTTCTTCCTCCGGCCGAGATAAATCGACGGCAACAAATAGCTATTGGTTTTGGACGTCGTTGGATCTCAGATTTGAGATCGCCGACATGATTAGCCTCGGTCTGTCAGCGTGAGTTTGGAGGAAAGAGTCGGTAAATAGCAAAAAGGGATAGCCGGGGAGGGAGGGATGTGGTGGTCAGGAAATTGTTATGGCCTGGGCATTTGATTTTTCCTGTTTTGAATTAGTTTTGAGAAGTTGGATACCAAACAAAGTTTTGAATTTAAAATTTTTAAATCAAAATATGTGTTTTGAAAAAAAATCAAAGTTTTGAGTTCCGTTCTCAAGTTAGATACCAAACAGGCCCTTAAGTTTTCAATTTAGCTTTCAGTTTTTTATCTTTAAAACTGAAAAAACAAAAAACCGAGTGTTACCGGTAGTTACCAAACTACGTTTTCAGTTTTCAAATGGTTAACAAAAAACCTGCACATATGAGAACTTAGATCACATCATTAAATCCCGAGGAAGCGAAAGTTCGACCCTCGCTCTTCTCCTCGCTTAATCATACATCCACTTCTTACCAAAAGAAAAATGACAGAAGAGTCTTAACAAGAGAAACAAGCTTGGCACTAAATATGATCCAAGCGTTTATTAGCCTTTTATACAATGGCCAACACAATGCAGTTATAACTTACTCAAAGTGACAGGTCCCAGCTCTTTGGCCTTGGCCCTCAGCAAATGCTTCTGTATCTTCCCAGTAGCGGTCTTTGGCAATGGTCCAAATACCACGGATCTCGGAACCCAGTACGCAGGTAGCTTGGACCGGCAGAACTTCATTATATCTTCTGCCATACGATTCTCATCAGACTTATCGACACCCGGTTTCAATGTCACAAAAGCGCAAGGAGTTTCACCCCACTTCTCATGTGGCCTTGCAACCACCGATACCTCGAATATGGCTGGGTGTTGATATAGAGTGTTCTCTACCTCCACACTACTGATGTTCTCACCTCCGGAGATGATAATGTCCTTTGATCTGTCTTTGATTTCGATATAGTTATCTGGATGCTTCACTGCCAGATCACCAGAATGAAACCAACCATTGGCGAAAACTTCATTCACCTTTGGGTTCTTTAAATACCCCTTCATTACGAGATTTCCCCGCATCATTATCTCCCCCATGGTAGCTCCATCAGCTGGAACTGGTTGCATAGTCTCAGGGTTGAAAACATCTACACCCTCCATGCCAATGTACCGAACACCTTGGCGTGCATTAAGCCGCGCTTGTTTTACAGGGGGCAGCGAGTCCCACTCAGGCTTCCACGCACATACTGTGGAGGGGCCATAAGTTTCTGACAGACCATAAGTGTGCGTGACTCGGAAGCCCTTTTGGGACATCGCAAAAAGAATAGAAGGTGGAGGGGCAGCACCAGCTGTCATCACCTGTACAACATGTGGGAGAGGAAGGATAGTCTCCTCTGGGGAAGCATTGACCAAAGTGTTGAGTACCACGGGTGCAGCACAAAAGTGAGTCACGCCATGCTCGGCTATGGCTGAATATACTGCCTTTGCTGTAACCTATGAAATTGCAACAAAAGGCGGTGTGGACATGAGCATCCAAGCGAATCAACCAGGGAAAACTAAATGAAAAATAACACAAACGCAAAATGTTGGCTAAACATATAGACTGATGGCACACGTAAGAACTTGACATTACTTTAACTGCAAGCTCCAAGGAGCATATTGCATTGGGGTCTTAGTATTTACTCACGGAATCAGGGTCACTATCACCCTTGGGGCTAGCAAGTTCATACTGCACCATTCTAACCACTAGGATTCAGCAATCCATGCATATGATGCCTTCTATATTTTAAACAAGCAGTTGTGACTACGTCGAATATAAGCTTTAACACTATGACAAATTCATCAGAGGCTAACAATTTCACTCAATATGCTGAATAAACTTACAGCATTTGCAAGTACAGATATAAGCACTTTACCTGTCGAAGGCATATGTTTGTCCCACAAAGAGCTGCAAGTGACCAAGTGAAACACCAACCATTGCAATGGAACATGGGTAGAGTCCACAGATATACAGCTCCTTCAGTCATCCCCCATACAAGAGGACCACTCAAAGCCATCAGATAAGCCCCACGGTGATGCAAAACCACCCCCTTAGGGCTGGCTGTTGTGCCAGAAGTATAACCCAGAGCAATGCTCTGCCACTCATCCTCTGGTGGTTTCCAAGCAAACTCAGGGTCACCACTTTCCAAGAATGTCTCATATTCAATGGCGCCTCTTCCCAAAGCACTTTTTAGTGCCATAGGATCACAGCTTTCATCACCTATGACAACTAAGAGTGGAGGCTTGCAACTGCCTTCGCTTTTCTCTGCCCATATTTTCAAAGCTTCCTCTGCCAAGGGAAAAAATTCTTGATCCACCATCACAACAAACAGACGATGAATGACCAAGAAGGAAAGCAATAGTCGCTGCATTTAGACGAACATTTACAGTGTTTAACACAGCTCCTGCCATTGGAACTCCATAATGAGCTTCAAAGAGGGCTGGCACATTTGGTGCTATTATCGATACCTGTTTCAATATAAGAGAAGTGATATGTCAATTAACAAGCTCCAACGCAACACAAGAAGCATATAACAGAAGCTGATGGTGAGATACCATGCAAGAGAATAACACAATAGGTAAGGTGTCTAAGAAATCCAAGCATTACAATACTGTTAAAAATGAAAAACCAGTAACCAAAGAAACAAAAGATGTTCCGATGCTAGTTGAAAGCGAATAAGTCCATGATTAGGATGCCGTTATGAATTTTCAAGCACAAAATAACTATTGATGTAGTCCCCATCTGTTCCCAATAACTAGCTCAGTTTCAGCAGAGGGCATAGCGGTTCTAAAAGAAGCTATTGAGTTGGCTTCTTGAAAGAGGCGATGGAAGCAGAATAAGGTGATAGGCGGAGTCAGATGTTTGACTGAAAGCCTCATACGGATATGAGATTTATACTCTAATATTCAATTTTGTGCATGGGGCATGCACTTGTTCCACTTTCACGTTGGTCAAGCTACTATAGAGCAATGTAACCTCAAGAATCCACTCTCTTTTTTAATGAAATGCTTTTTTTCTTAGTTCACCGTCCTTTTCAATAGACGTCCAGTTAAGATTCCGGCAGGGCAAAAGCATAAATTATATATATAGAAACTATGCTTGATGCTTCGTGAATAAACCTAGGTAGAAGCAAAGTTATACAGCATAAAAGCAACTAAAAAGGAACTTCAAGAAGCCCCAATAACAAGCATTGTGCAGAGACCATAATTATCAGCAAATGAAGTGGGGCAAAAAAAGCAAGACAACATATAAAAAGGCCATTATCTCAACAAAATTTGATCATAAAACAGGAAGGACAAGATTAAAAAGAAATTTGGTGAAAGCTATTACCGATATGCATTATAGAGGAGAACGAAGATGTTACTAAGGCAATTCATTGAAATGACCAGGGTCATGCTGCAATTGTATTTCATATTAAAGTTCTTCGCATGCATCTGGGGTAGAAATAGTTGTTTTTTCTACAGGATCACAGGTAAGTTATTGGATCATCGAATTGTCTAATTGAAGTTAAAGACGGACAATACTAGTTTTTCTTCGTTCTCTAACTGTGTTCCATATCTAAGTGGGAGATTCTTTTTTTTCTTTTCTTTCTAAGGAAAACCAATGTTGTTTGGAAAGATCGTTTTTGGGTCACTAAAGCTACTTGATGTTAGTCAAAAAGTGGGCAGTTCGAGAAATGGACTCTGTAAGTTTCTTCTCAGCAGCATTGAATATTCTAATCTAAAACAAGGTTAAACCAATTGAATTCCATTAAATACAATGACAAAAGGCATCAGCGGTATTCGGTATGAAATTAAAAGCAAGTCCTATACAAATATGTGGTAGAAAGGGATAAATCCAAAACAACCTGCAAAGGAATTCAGCTTTTTAATACGAAACATAACCAAACAAGAAAGCATTCATCAAGGGTAGCACTTATTTCATCTGAATGAGGGTACATGTGTTGGTTCAAGTGCCAATATAAAAAAGTAATAAGCTAACTCCAATGGAATTGCTTTTCTAAAGTATCAAGGTGCTTTCTAACGACCAACAAAACGCTTATGACTACTTCTGGCAGAAACACTTAAAAGCGCTTATGGGTCGTAGAAACACTTTCTGGAGAAGTGGTTAGCAGGAAGCACTTCCAACTTCCAAGTGCGTAAAGCATGGACCTTTAACAAAATTTCCACATGTTTATAACAAAAGCACTTTTAGCATAAGCACTTTTGAAGACCTAGGAAAACTTTGGAAGAGACCCTAAGAAAAGACTTGAGTACTTGGATCTAACGGAGGACATGACACAAAACCGAGCGCAATGGCGTTCTAGGATTCATATAGCCGACCCCACTTAGTGGGAAAAGGCTTTGTTGTTGTTGTTGTTGTTGTTATAACAAAAGCACTTTTAGCATAAGCACTTTTGAGCAGAAATGCTTCCTACATATAGAGTCCCAAACGAACCCAAGCAGCACACTACCATTTTTGGATAAATAAACCAAACGAGCCCAAGCAGCACACTACTTTTAGCGTAAGCTTTTGAGCAGAAAAATGCTTCACCAAATATACAATTCATCGATATTACATTTCCTACTGCAATTTCATTTCCATAAATTCCAATTAAACAGGAAAAAGATAGCGCCTTTCTACAATTTATTTTCATTTCCTATATTTTCCATAAATTCGACAAGAAATATAAATATATATTACAACAAAATACAATTAATTAACAAAATCAAAATTTAGCACTCAGGTAAAATGGATGACAGAACTAATAATAATAAAGGTTATATTACCGTGGTGCCGAGGCCGATGGAGCGCTTGGCGAGAGCGGAGGCCAAACGGCGGCAACGCTGGTAAGTCTGCTGCCACGTGTAGCGAATTGATCCATGGACCATGGATGTTCTGGTGGGGTGCACCAGAGCTGCTCTATCCAGAAACCACAGCGGCGTTAATGCCGTGTAGTTGGCTTCGTTCTTCGGCAGATCGTCTATGTCTCGCCCCACCACCATCTTTGATGCACCTGTTCTACCTCTCTCTTTCTCTGACTGGAGACTCAGAAATTCAGAATTATGACAAACCAGCTGACATTTTATATGGCCAAAATTTTCAGGCATTTTATTGAGGAAATATTCCTCAATGACGGTGATACTCGCCGCCTCTCGTTAGCTAACGTTTTTCCTTATTTATCTTTTCTTTCTGTATCTATGTTTTTTTACTCCTCACATATAGTTTCATAATAAATAAAAAAAACATATAATTCTCGCTTGAGAGTGTTGAGCAAAAGTACAATAATAAGCATCATTATCAATTGAGACTGATGATCAAAAATATTTTAAATGAATAAGCGCATATTTGATCAAAAATATTTTACATTATCTATTTAGAAATATTTTTGCTGATAATAGACATAAATTTCAACATCTTTGTAGATAATAGACATAAATTTCAAAATTTAAATTTATCTAATAGTCATAAGTAAAGTGGTGAGCATACGTTTCTTTCATTTTGAATTATTTTTGCTTACCATCCTTAATTAATCGTGTTGCTTGTCAGCATATTTATTATACTTTGATAAGTTTAAATTTTTAAATCTATATGGTAAATAAATAGGAATATCAAAATTTAACGATATTTTTAAAACACGACACCTTTTATTTTCATTTTAAACACGTGGAGTGTGGGCTTCATTTTGCGCTCCCAGATATTCTGTAGCTCCTACATATGGGATATTCACACGGTTGGCCTCCACAAAAGTGGAAGTGGCCTTATCCCATTTTGGGCAACTTCATCTTCTTCTTTTTTATCTTTTACGCACGTTTTTAAGTTTTCAACCATTGGATTGGATCAATTGAAAATGATCAAAACACAAAAATTAATAAAGAATGTGTGCAATATAAAAACAGGTGCATAAAATAATACTACCTAAATTAATACTTCTCTTAGTTTTGTTTTTAATCTAATAAGATCACATAAGCTGAACGAGGACGAGTAGAAAGCTGGACCAATCTACACTCTACAGCCACCGATATGGAGACCATTACATGCCATTAGCCGCCCTGTAGGTATTTAAATACGTTTGGGTAAAATTAAGGCCAACATTACTTAAGCACGATGGAACTAAAGATCGATTGCTCACATATAAGAAATCGAATTTAAGATCTTTAACTTTTAAATACGTTCGGGTAAAATTAACAACGCACCAAAATCTAAATGCTTATTTTGATCATTGTGTCTGTAAAAAAAACGCCAGGCTGCAGACCAATCTTATACAATAGCAATTAGCAAAAACAAATTTGTTTGATGAGAACTATTAAGTGTTGATAAGATATATCAACAAGGTTCTAGCCAAAAATGGGATTGAAGAGTTTGGAGTATATACATTATACAACTAACACATGGTTTCACGTACAATTAAAATCGCATGGTTGCAGATAATAATATTTAGAGCTTGTAAACCACAAATAACAAAATTTGCACAAAATAATAGCAATGCATGCGTACTGCACCTTCACACAAAGATAAAGTTGAAAATATATTGTCTTCATTTTTCTTCCTCTTCAATCCATATGTTTCGAAACAAATTGAACAAAAACCTCAAGAAGATGAAGATGAAGACGAAGACGAAGACGAAGAAGATGAAGGTTGAAAAGCCTTCTGTTCAGCGCAGCTGAGCACGTCATGAGGTCCAGCCTCTTCGCGGCCAACCCCGATTTTGTCAAGGTAATACAGGTAATGGGAGACGATGTTGTTCATGGAGTCAACGTCACCTTGGCCACAGACTTGGTCTCCATAGAGCACATTGATGGTGGTGCCAAAGCCAGGAACTCTTTTGGATAAAGTGTCGTTCTTGGTTGGCTTCCATTTGCCGACAAAGACATCGTGGACTGAAGGGATGTTCTTCTTTACTGGCGTCATCCACCTCCAGATTGCAGCCTGGAAGGCTAGGGTTGCATTTTGTTCTATGTATTCTGGATGGTTTAATAAGTCCACCTTTAGGGCTTGACCTGTTTCTCCATAGTTGTAGTTCCTAAGATCAAAAACGCCCAAAAGTAAATGAAAACTACAACAAAATATTGAAACAAAATCACAAAGTAGAAAGTTCCGCCGGAATTGTTGTTAACACTCTACAATAGTCGTTTAGATCTTTTTCATTCTTTTTTTTTTGTAGGAAAGTTTGTGTGTAGACTATTTTGAAGTGCCAATGACAGTTCTAATTTTTGAAATTAGAAAGTCGGGAATTGTTATTAACAAATATACTTGGATCCCTTCCTCTAGAAGTAGCATTCCAAATCACTTGTCAATCAAGTTTCACAATTACATGTGTAGAAAATTTTCTTTTTGTGTTTTTGACAAGTAATTTATGTACGTGTCAAACTGTAATTTGTAAAAACGAGGAATGACTGATTTTATGGAAGAAGCCAACCAGTATGTTTGTTATAAACACTCCATAATAGTTGTCATACATTCTTCGATCCCTCGTGTCTTTTCATTAGGAAATAATGTATGATGACTATTTTCGAGTGCTCACAACTCAAAATTCTGAATATGACAAATCTGGGAATTAGGTGGATTGTTTGATACCAATAGAGTGGCAAGGCACCACGGCCATGGTATGAAGCACCAGGAGAGCAGGGGTAAGTGTATTTGTAGTAGTCATCACAGTATAACTGGCTAGGGCTCATTTCCTTGTTGTAGCATAGACCCCAAGCCAATGGTCCTCCGGTGGCAACCCCATAGCCACCTGAAATTCAAACAAATTATTAACACTTCATCATTGTTTTTTATTTATATAAAAATAAAAAATAAAAAATAAAAAAAACACTTCATCATTGTTTCTTTATATGTAAGACTGCTAAAATCATTTTAAATCCAAACTTCAAAAGCAATTATACCCAAAAGCACTGCAAGGGAAAGCATTTTGGAGTCATAATTTCAATCAATAGCACTCAACATTCCTAGAATTTGTATATTCTTTTTTCCTGGGTTCTGAGAAGCTAATTGGGATCAAATTAAGGTGTCAATTCGTTGTAAATGACACCAAAATCCCAATGATTCCCTCATTTGCAATTTGAGGCTTTTTAACAAAATTAATCTTACATAACCCTCATTAAATCCATTTCAAAGCAAGTACTAGTTGAATATTTGAATGATGAGAAAAGATTGTTTGGCACTGCACACCAATCTACAATACCTGAGATTGTCAATATTTGGTCAATATATTAACGATATTATCATATGTCGACAATGTACCAAATATTGGTTAATATTCGGTACCAAATACGGTAGATTGTTGATATTTGATAGCATACTGTAAATAAGTACTCAATCCACATATAGTATATTGGAATTTGGTACCACATCATGAAGATTGGTAGCTGATACCCTCCTTTTGTGGTATAGAGAAAAATAGATCCTAAAGAAAGTCCAACCAAATCAATGAACCCAAAAAACACCCTAGAAAGAAAAGTTTTACAACTTACACGTAGTTTTGCTGCCAACATGCCCAAGAAAAGCAGCAACTTCCTTCATCCCCTGGAGCTTGCCACCTGTGGTACCGAATCCATGAGGCTGGTAATCGGCAGCAGCGGTGATGAAAGAGTGGTAGTCCCAGAATCCCACGGCGTGCGCCACCGGCGAGTTACGCTTGGAGAAAAGGTCCTCGAAGTGGTAAGCTTGGAAGTAGTCAGAAATGGTCTGGTTACAACAATAAACAGACCATCCTTTACACTCCCACCCCTTGTCGCACACCTTCTTGCCCTTCACTATCTTCACCAACGGCTTCACCGCTGAATCCTCTTGACCGTTCACAACGTTGATCGCTAGCAGCATTGCAGCTGCCATTGAGAAAAGCAGAAGCCATTTTTTCTCCATATGTTTTCCTTTGATTATTTTTGTGTTGTGGGATGGTGAAGGTGGAAATGGAATGAAATGAAATATATGGAATTTAGAATATTAATGGTTTGGGGGAGTGAAAAGGAAAGAAAAAGAAAGTGTAACAAATAGAGTTAGGAGGACACTGTCGATGTGTAACGCTCACCCACCACCTTCTGGTTTTGCTTCAAATCTATTTCTTCCTTTGAGTGCAAGGGAAGCAAAAAGTAGCAGAGAATTTGATCGTCTGTTGCTTTCCAATTAAGAATCTAAGAAGGGGTGGTGATTCACTTGCTTTGGATCCAGATGAGCTTTTGCTTTTCAGGTTACGTATAAAGGTATGGAGCTTAGTAGGGCTTTTATTTGGTTGGATAATTTCTTGGCCTGGTCCAGTTTGGACCTTAAATTTGGAATATGATGGTTGGATCTTTATGGCCCAAAATCTGATCAATTGGTTGGCATGCGTATTTATTGGGTTGGCATGCGTTTTAATTGGGTCGACACTCGACAGCAACGCGCACGCAGAGAGTCTCAGATCTTAGCTCCATGATCTTCCCCTTGGTCTGCCTTTCACGTTCGCAGTTTTAACTTGTACCCCTCTCTCTCTCTCTCTCTCTCTCTCTCTCTCTCTCTCTCTCAAATGCAGGAAAGATAAAAGGAAAAAATAGTCATCGGAACTACAACTGTGTTGCGAGTTATATATTTGTTTGTACCATACTTGACCAATCCCGAAACTACTGAGCACCGGTCAACGTTATACCGTCAAGGACCTAGAAGAGCTTCCCTTCAACCAGGAGCCCAATCACAATACGACACGTGTCGACATCAGAAGCCAATTACAGCTCGACACGTGTCAACATCAGAAGCCAATCACAACACGACATGTGTCGATGTTAGAACAAAACTAGAAACTCTCCTCTATAAATAGGGATCATTCTCCCACAATAATCTCTAATGTCATTTTGTACTAAACTATTCACTAAAACTCACAAAATGAGAGCTTGAACCTATGTATTTGTGTAAACTCTTCACAATTAATGAGAACTCCTCTACTCCGTGGACGTAGCTGATCTGGGTGAACCACGTACATCTTGTGTTTGCTTCCCTGTCCCTATTCATTTACGTACTTATCTTCACTAGTGATCGAAGCAACCAAGCGAAGGTCACAAACCTGACACTTGCTGTTGTACCAAAGTCCTCGCTGATTTTGTGCATCAACAATATTAGTTAAAGTATAAATAATAGTGTATTGTCTCATATTGATGAAGTACATATGTAATACCAATTGTAACTCATATATATTTCACTTTGGATATTAATGAAT